TTGGCTGCAACGGGATGGGCCTGAGCCCCTTCTCAGCCCCCCCGTGCTCACTCTCGTGCCCCCCACATACCCAGCCCCCGCCCCAGTCCTTCCTCAATCTCCCTCCTTGAGTCCTGCACTCCCCATGTGCCCAACCTGCTGCCCTGCCCCCTACCACATCCCCAAGGCCCTTCCCTGACTCCTGCACACACACACACACACACACCCTAAAGGAGCTGGATGGTGCAGGATAAGTCTTCTAGTAGTTTCCTAAAAATGGGAATGCAGTTGAGCCAGCAGGTGGCAGACTTTTGCCGCTTTCATTCTACAGGCTAAACCTCTCTACTCTGGCACTCTCTCTCGTCCGGCAACATCCGTGGTCTGGCATGATTTTAGTTAGCCAGATGGCCACATCCATGATAAGTGGCTAAGTTACTTTTGGTCCCATAAAGTTTGTTTACAGCCAACAGTCCTGGCTCTCAGTGTTCTGTGCTGCTATTTAGCTCTAATTTACCCTGAGGCTTTGTCTACACTGCCGGTTTTTGCTGGCAGAGAGTATGCAAATGTTGATTAGCATTTTGTCATGCTTCATTTGCACAAGGGGTTTTTGCTCAAAAACAAGCAGTGTGGATATTTCCTTTTTGCGCAAAAACCCCTTTTAGCGTAAGATCCATATTTCTTTCCAGATAGCCACGTTTGGACTTATTTTCACAGATATGGCAAAGGCCAGACCTTGCCAAATTTCACATCCCTGCTGCAAAGCACAGGGGCACTAGAGTTAAAAAGAAAAGAATTGCTAGCATTTTTTTAATATGGGCCAAACAGCATTGATCTTGGAAACAGATACATTGTTTTGGCTGAAATTTTCCAAAACAATTCAGCTTGGGGCACACACTCAGGATGAAAAATTTCAGTCCAAACTGTTAACGTTTTGCAAAGCAAGCAGCAACTGAATAAAGAGTCTTATACTAGTGAATGTTGGGCAGGCTTAATAACAAGTGGCACTTCCAGCGCCCCCTGTATTAACTATAGTCTTTGTGCAAGGTCCCACTGTGAGTCAGCAGTATTGGTCAAAGTAGAACCTATTCCCCAGTCGTTCCTGGTCTAACACGAGGCTACTCCGCCATGAGCTGTTTGTAAAAGTTGCCTCCCTTCCTCTTGTTACAGGTACCTGTATTTTTATAAACAGACCGTGGACCTGCTGGTTGAGAATGGAATTGTGTGCACTGAAGAGGTCACTCTGCCTGTGGTCTCCACAGCTGTTTCTCACCTGTGGCAGGATCTACCAGAGGAAAGGAGAGACAGCGTCTTGCAGTACTGCAGTCAGAGGCAAAATTTACTCCCTGATCCCAAGGCAGCCTGCCCTGAACCCGCTTGCACTGAAGGCAGCGTGAGGAACAGCAGAGCTAATAGTCAGGAAGCCAGTGGCTCATTGGTATCCACGCCAGAGGAGGTAGGTGACAATTACTATTAGGTTCCTAGTTCAGAAATTCCAAACCTCAGAAAAGTTGCTAGCTACATTGAGTGTGCGGCTCTTAAAGGGGAGCACAATACTTTAATTAAACCTTTCCATAAGCAGCAAAAGTGAACATCATTAACAGCATGGCAGTACATTGAATTCTCTTTACTCCTTAGCAGATCCCTAACATTGCTCTCCTGTGGCTGCTAGTCTTTCCGTTTTGCTAAGACTAAGACGTAAGTGCACTGGACTTTCAATGGCAGCAGCACTGCTAATCTGCCATGAAGAGAGGAGTCTGTTTATAGGAAATGATGAAAGGGAGAGAGGTATCACAGTTCAGGGCAACTGCACCTGTATTCACCCTCTGTCATTTAACAAGAATGCACACTCATGGGCAGTGCATGAACCAACCATTGGGAGAGGCTAGTCCCCTGCTCCACTCCTCCTGCCTGAGGTCCCTCCCCTCTCTTACCAGAGCCCCAGGCTGCCCAAGCATCCCTAGCCCCAGAGTGCCTATTGAGTGGTGCAGCACTAGCACTGAAGCACCAGGCGTGCAGCACTGCCCCACCCCCCAACCCTAGAGTGCTAGGTGGTGTGGGCACAGGCCCCAGCAGCTCCAAGTCCCAGCATCAGGCCACCCTAGTTCCAGGCAGCAGGAAAAGCAGGAAGCCAGAGCAGATCTGGGGGTGGAGCCACACTGGGCTGTTTGGGGAGGCTTAGCCCTGGCCTGTGGCTTAATGGATAAGGCACCAGCCTCAGGATGGTGGGTTTGAGCCCCACCCACCCACGCACTGTAGCATCCCTGATCCTGAGCCACTTACCTCTCTTGGGTGGAGAGCCACATCTCTCTCCTCCTGGCTGGGGGTGTCCCATGCTGCACAGCTCCCTCCCTGCTCTGTGTTGTTCCCACAAAGCCAGACAAACCAAAACCAGGCCAGCATCAGGGCTCAGGTTTCTCTTCAGAGGCTGTAAACAGCGTAATGCCCCATTGCTACACGTTACCACATGCATCTTTTTCCCGCAAAAACATTGACTCTTAAGGGGAAAGAATTAAAGCAAAATTAATATGAAAACAGTAAACATTTCTATATGCATACTTCAAGCTTTTCTTGTCCTGTAGTGCCTCGGTAGGCCAAAGTCCTTCCAGCCTTCCCAGAAAGAACTGGGGACACACTTGGACCGAAAGTGCTGTGCATTTGCTGGATCGGAGTCAGTTTAAACTTGGCCTGTATATCCAAAAGTCCATTCTTTGGCTGCCTCTGGAGAATCCCCTTAGAACAAGTGTGGGGGGGAGGGTCTCTGAGTGGTGGTACTTCTCCAGAGGCCTGAGAGAATTTGCCTTACCACCCACACCATTCCTAGTTGGAAAGGCTATGGTCAACCACCCCCATAAAATTATATACAGTCCCTAGCCCACAAAGATACAAAAAATGAATCCCAAAGATCCTGCAGAAAATGTTCATGTCTTTCACAGGGGCATAAAGATAATTGTGACTTTCCCCGCACAAAGTCCTTTTTGGAATACATCTATGCTGAACCTTAAGAGCAGCTCCCAAATCTTCAGGTTTTTCATAGGCCAGCTTCCCCACTCCAGTAATAATCAATTGTGCATCTGAAACTGCTAGTTCAGCGCATGAGAGGTGGGGAGGGGGCTCAGCTGAGATGGGAAGTCAGTGACCATGTGATGGCTGGAATGCCTTTTAGAGAAAGTAAGCAGAAGGTAATTGATTCTAAACATTTGTTGAATTGCTGTTTGAGTGCTGAGCTGCTCACAAAAAGTTTAAGTAAATTTTAGTGGTGGTTTAGAAGTGTTTACCCTTAAAGCATAAGTGCATTACAGCAATAAATCCCGCATTTATTAGGAAGGTAGGCTATTCATGTGACTGGCCTATTTACAAAATTGTATTGAAGGGTTACATGTTCCAGGAGTAACAGTGAACATAGCAGGGTGGTTGAATGAACTAATGGGATTCAACAATGCAGTGTTGGAATGTGGAGCAATTCAGGCTTCACGGCAAGCTGGAGCACACAGTTAAATGAGATCGTGTGGGCATTGGCTGATACAACTGAGATCTTTGTCTGAACACATCAGTAACCGTTAGCAAAATAGACTGGGAAGTACTTGTATAATCCTTCTTTTTCACTGAGGCTATGTCTAGACTGCAGGCTTCTTTCGAAAGAGGCTCTTTCGAAAGCATCTTTCGAAAGAGCCTCTTTCGAAAGATTGCGTCTAGACTGCAGGCGGATCTTTCGAAAGAGCAATCCGCTTTTTCGAAAGAGAGCACCCAGCGAGTCTGGATGCTCTCTTTCGAGGAAGCCCTATTTACATTGAAGAACGCCTTCTTTCGAAAGAGGAACTTTCGAAAGAAGGCGTTCTTCCTCGTGAAATGAGGTTTACCACCATCGAAAGAAAAGCCGCGTTCTTTCGAAATAATTTCGAAAGAACGCGGCTTGAGTCTGGACGCAGGGGAAGTTTTTTCGGGAAAAGGCTGCTTTTCCCGAAAAAACCCCTGAGTCTGGACACAGCCTGAGGTATTTGGAAACCATTGGCCTAAATCCAGTTCCAGGAAACTTAACAGTCCAGATGGAACTGATGGCCACAATGTGTATCAATTAACACTAGAACTGGAAGGGACCTCGAGAGGTCATTTTGAGTCCAGTCCCCTGCCCTCATGGCAGGACCCTCTGTATGTAAATAAAAGTAATTTATTTCTACTTTTACAATATATTAATGGTCCAATGTAACACATAAGCACGTCTCTGTAAGGGGAAAAAGGACTTCCTAGATTATAAAGACTTAATCATTGAGAACTATTATAGACTCAGTAACAATGTTCAGTGGCTGACAGTTTTGAGTTCTAAAATATTTTCTTTGATAGATACTATTTGAAGATGCATTTGATGTTGCTGCTGGTTTCCTTGATGGAAATGAGACTCAACAAACAATGTCCAGTCCAAGGTAATTATAAACACACCCAGTCTGGTAGCCAGCATCCTCATCTTTTGATGTACGTTAATAAGGCAGCTTCCATATTTTTGTCCTCATCCCTTAAGCCTGTTGAACACACATATTTGCAGCAATTTGCTCATGATCATACCATTTGTTAAGGTGTAAGAATTGGTAAGCTTGCAATTAAAAGACATTTTACAATGGACTGGAAAGTACCCTCTCTGATAATTTCAACAATGTCCCATTATAGGCCTTTCCTGTCTCTGATGTTGCTATTTAGGTGAAACTACATTTCTGCTCTGTAAGCTATTTGTTATGTCACCCACATAATTAAAAGAGTGAAGGAGAGTATGTCTTAGAAGACTATTTTTGTTCCACTGAAAGAGAACACAGTTCAAAATTAGCTAACTTATCCAGAGAACACCTGATCTTTCTAAACCTTGTGAGGGGGAACAACAGGAATCCAATGTTATTATAGCCAGGAAGACTACAAATGCTGATGAAGAAAAGCCAAAACATTCTATGTCTGGTACTAATGGAACAAAAAACAGGACTATGTAGCACTTTAAAGACTAACAAGATGGTTTAATAGGTTTCATGGGCTAGACCCACTTCCTCAGATCAAGTGAAGTCTTAAAAGGCCTTTGAAGCAGGATGCAGGTAATCAAGTCATTGAGACAACAAACGTCTCAGACACTTCGCCAAAGGATCAGTGCCCACAAAACAGATATCAGACAGGATCACAAAGAAAAAACAGTTTCTTGCCATTTCAACCAGAAAGGACATTGTCTCTATGTCTCAAGCATCCTGCTTCAAAGGCCTTTTAAGACTTCACTTGATCTGAGGAAGTGGGTCTAGCCCATGAAACCTATTAAACCATCTTGTTAGTCTTTAAAGTGCTACATAGTCCTGTTTTTTGTTCCATTAGTACCAGACATAGAATGTTTTGGCTTTTCTTCATCAGCATTTGTAGTCTTCCTGGCTATAATAACATTGGATTCCTGTTGTTCCCCCTCACAAGGTTTAGAAAGATCAGGTGTTCTCTGGATAAGTTAGCTAATTTTGAACTGTGTTCTCTTTCAGTGGAACAAAAATAGTCTTCTAAGACATACTCTCCTTCACTCTTTTAATTATGTGGGTGACATAACAAATAGCTTACAGAGCAGAAATGTAGTTTCACCTAAATAGCAACATCAGAGACAGGAAAGGCCTATTACATCAAGTTTTTCCTGTGCAAGAGCTGTTTGTAGTCCATCAAGAGAGGACATGTCAGATACAAGAGTGGTCCCAGCCTTAATATTAGCCAGGAGCCCTAGCAAGGACTGTGCTTCTTAATAGGAAATACATGTGAGGACTCAGCTCTAAGTACTCTCCTTGCAGGTTGTATCTTGGGTGGGATTTTCTCTCCTTGCAAGTCAGTAAAGCAATTATCCAAGTTAGAAGGTCCTTTAACATGTGAGGCATGATTCTCATGAAAACTAAAATTGCATTTCACACTGCTTGAACAGTGTAAATGAGAATAAGTCCCTTTAGATTGTTAACCAAAACACACTCGGATATATAATACAATTGAATTAAGTATGTACCAGTTGAACAAGTAATTGATTTTTTAAAAATTAGGAGACGCATTTAGACACAATGAATTAGTGTCCCATCTACACATGTCGCCTAGCCTGCTCCTATATTAGGGCAATGGACTCTTTATTGCCAGACTATGTCTTCAAGCACCTCTGATCCAGAATAAAAAAGCTATGCTGTGTGCCTTTGCAGAGCTCTGTGGGAGCCCAGAAGAAGGTGAAGGCCTGGAAGCCAGGCCAAGACTGGCAGAACCTGTCAGGGAAGTTGCCTAACACTTGCCCACAGTGTGGCTGCTGATAGTTGATATTCTCGGTCAAGTTTTAGGACCATAGAAAGGTGTCTCATTCACTCAGAAACCTAATATAAGAAATAAAAGGGTTTATTTGGGCAAGGTAATGTTATAAAACATTCAGGCTGCCAGTTAAATAGAACAATCGCTTTGTATTATAATTGGCATATGTTTTTCTCCTGGAACACTATGATTACATCCACCACGCATCTCTTGAGTTTCTTTGCTTTGATCATTGTTTCTTGCATCACGTTTCCCTATTGGTATCATTTATTGTGTAAAGTCTCCCCACCCCCCATTGCTGAGTTATTTTATTCATCTTGAAAATAATGATTAAGGTTTGTAAATAAATCAAAAGGAGAAGAAGTGAGCAGGAGGAGATTCGGGACGGGAAATGTATTTTAACTTCTGTTTCCGTTTTTCAGCTCCGTGTTCACCGGCTGCATCTCAGAAAATGCAGAGGATAACCACCGGCTCTACTTGCAGATCACTGGTTTCCTAAAGGGCCTTTTCTTTGCTAACACACAGGTTCCCCAGGTAGGCCTTGCCAAAGTGCGTGTTATATGTGAGGCAGCATATTCCTCTGAATACCAGATTGGGATTTCCGTTTGATGTACCTTTGCTCATGTTTCCCAGGATCATCCAAACTGGAATCTTAGGCTTCATTATTTTTTTTAATTCCATCCATTCCAGAGATTAATGGACTCACCATTTAGCAGGCAAGGTTCAGTTGTTTTATTTTACATACTATAAAAGCCATGGGGGCCAAATTTAACTCTGGAAAACATCACTGTTATAATTGGAGCTGTCTAGCAGGTGGACAGAAAGTCATTCAGGTTGCAGGTTGTTTCTTCCCCCTCGCATTCCAGTAGTAGATAGAAAATTGGGTCAACCCCTGAGCTGTAGAACTTGCATGGGATGTGGAGGCCCAAGGAAATCCAAAGCTAATCCTGTTTGCTTGTGATCAACCTTAGCCGTGCCTCTCTGATAGTAGTTGCTGCAACTTCTGCTTCTTGCTTTCTGTCACTTGTTCATCCATGATATAAAAGATGAGGAAGGAGGGGACAGAAGAAATAGGTGCGACCAAAATAGGTATTTTCTTTGTTGCATGTAGCTTGTGGGAGGATAAAGAAGCACAGTATTTATGTCGTCTTGCATCAGGTGATCACACTGTGCTCTCCCTTGCTATTCCTCAACACAGTGCTATTAGAGCGTGAATGATTTTTGACACAATTCTGTCTCACTGCACCCAGACTGTGGAGGGTGGGAAGAGGTAGTAAAACATTTAGGTCATGAAGAACAAGCAAAATGAGAGAGGCAAAAAGTTTTGTGGCATCAGAGGATGCTATGGATTAACTTGCATGAGGTTGGCTGAAATTTCATAATCCAGCTGGCATACATCTCAAGATAATGCTGGGCAGTTTCATTCCTCAAGAATACCAGGTTGTCAGCTGGCAGATAATTAGAAGGGAAACCAAGGAGAAATCTCATAATAATGGATATAAACAGGCAAATTTCCCATGGTATCTGATTTAATGTAGATAATTGCGGCACCGAACCCCTAGGGAATAATTCTACATGGTAAAATACAACATGCAGGATTCTTGCTTTGAGAGCAGAGATGCAGGTTCACATCCCAGCAGACACAGACACTCTACCCTGTCCCAAGCATTTGTAGCTCCTGCAAACTCTCCCTTAGCTCAGGAAATTGGACAGTGCTGATGTCACAAAACACCCAGGACAGATGACTAGTGTCCTTAAGGCTCATGGCATACAACAAAGGCGTGGTGGCAGATATGACTGTAATCAGGAGGCACAACGTGTAGCTGTCCAAAAAATACAGCCTATGGTCGCCTTTCCATCTGACTGCGGGACAAGAACTGTACTGTTCAGCTGACTGGTTTTATTGCTGGCCAGTGCAAATGAATTAGTGCTGCTTCCACTCTTCTCTCAAGGGATATACAAATCAAATAATGTATGACTGTGACTATATACACACATCAAATGCAGCTGCTCTTGGCAAGTTTCTGGTCTGGTTCTCCGTCCTGCTCTGCAGTATTCCCTCTAAGCGGCAGCCAGCTCCACAGGCGATTAATCAGCCCCACCCAGTCAGTCAACGCCCTGCAGGGAGCCCTGAGCCTCTGGGTGGGGCTGATTAATCACCTGTGAAGCTGTGCTGCCACCCTATTTGGAGGGAACCCTGCTGCTATGGCACCTCACCTGAAAAAATGCTTGTGAGAGAAGCAGGCAGAAGAATGGAAAGACCTATGCACACAGTGCAGAAGGGGAGGCCTAAAATGGAGAATGGGAAGGTTTAGATTATGTGGGAGGACAATATTTCTAACAGGAAGATCAGTTATGCAATTACATAATTTCTCCAGGGGTGCTGGTTTGAGAGTTATAATCAGCAACCCTTATAAGAGTTGCTTAACTGCAGATAAGATAAAACATTATTTTAGATTTTCAAAACTGTGTTAATTGACAGACACCCAATGACTGACCTGCTTAGATACATTTGTAAATTCATTAGAATGCCATGTAAGTGCCTAAATATCTTTCAGCATTTATCCCTTAAGACAAGGGTTCTCAAACTTTGTGATACCACGACCCCCAGTAGGGTCGGGACCCACAGTTTGAGAAACGCGGCCATTAGAGCTTAAGTCACATTGAAAGTAAATGAGATGTAGGAACATAAATGTTTAAGTTACTTTGAAAAATAGGACTTGGGCTCCTAGATATCACTAAGTCAGCTTTAAAAATGTTTCCCCTCTCCCAACCCCCTCCCCTCCAGTCCACAGAATCTTGCACTGGTGTGGTAGGAGGAACTAGATCTTCTATGGCTATGTCTCCACCATAGTAAGAGCTGAAGCTCAAGCTGTACCTCCCATCTATCTGCACAGAAATGTGTCTGTTTCAGGCCAGCAAGCCCTCGGGATCCATGGCCTAAGATCTGTGAAGAGGGGTGGGCCCAAGACCTAGCCAGACTGCACCATTGTGTAGCATGGATGCAGTTAGGGCCCCAATCCGCCAAACTCACATCCTGGGAATCCGCCAATCCCATGTGCCTAGCCTTTCTATCCCAAGACTAGCCAGTCAACTCCCAGGGAATGGAAGCATTTCCCTGGTTCAGGGTCAGCTGCTCAGCATTTAATCCTTCCATTTTATTCTGATTACTGAAGTACAAAGAGAATGAACCATCTCCTGCATAACTTGTGGCCAGTGAACCAGAAGTACTTTGTCAAGTTGTAACACTCCCGCCCCCTTTCTTGGGGAGGGGGCCATTCTGCTACATTATCTCACGCTTTAATAGTCCTCCGGTACCCTGCCGGGGCGGAGGGGGACCCGGGCCTGCCCTCTCTCCAGGTCCCAGCCCAGGACCCTAAGGGAGTGCGTCTGAGACGCGCTGCCTGACCGGGGGGACTACGGCCGCAACTCACCGGTCCCTGGGGTTTCCGACCCCGTCCTGGGCTGCTTCCTCCGGCCCTTCAGGGTCCGTATGTCTCAGTCTGGTTCGGCAGGGTGGCCGGAGGGAGGGGGGACTCACCCACTCTGGCCGCGGGGGTTCTCGGTTGCCCGTCCTGGGTCTGCTGTCGGTCCGGTCACCTCGTCGCAGTTCCTGTCGGGTGCCTGTTGGTCGTCCCCCCGGAGCTTCCTCTCCCCCCCCTTTTGTGTCCTGCCCGCCCGGCTTTTAAACCTGGCGCCCTTGATCCGGGACGCCAGCGCATGCCCCCTGGGGGGGGGCTTCTGCGCCTGCGTCGGCAGCCGCTGCGGAGCAGGCGCGGCAGAGCCACCCAGGTGTCTCGGCGCCTGTCCCCCGCGGCGCCCTAGTGTCTCGGCACCTGTGCCCCGGGGCGCGGGGTTGGGGCTCGCTATCCCCGCCGCCCCGTCACACAAGTGCACTGCTATCTGGTCATAGGACCACAGTCAGCTTCTGGTAGCTTTGTGGTATGAGGCCAGCAGGATGTCCCTCCTCAATAAGAACACCAGAAATGATCGTATGTACCAAGAAATAAGCAGACAGTGTTGGGATTCAGTGGACTTCAGATGGAAGTGTGGGAAGTGGATCAAATGGCTGACGAGTGACTACCAGAAAGCCAGGGATCCCTGGGAACTCCCCATCATCCTGTCTCTTTAGCGAGGACTTTGACAGGGTACTTGATGGAAGCCTTGACCCCCACATCTCATGTAGCACTGGAGGGGACCAGCAAGTGTCAGATCAAGCTAGCAAAATTACTGGTGGTTGCACCAATCCCTGAGGAGGTTTTGCCTCCAGAGCAGACAGTGCATGTCCTGAGTCCATACTCAGAGAAGCTGTTTGATGACCCTCCCAGAGCAGCAGCAGCCTGCCGCAGAACTGGCAGAAGAGGCAGAATGTAGCCCCAGATCCTGGTAAGTGTTTGGCTGCATGTCTGTTGTTGCTAATATGCCATTAGGAGGGATTTCTGGTTTATAATTCAGTGCAATTTTTATTACAAGCTGTGGGCAACAGTTTCTGCCCACTAATGGTGGAATGCACCCCCACATCTAGGGTATGTCTACACTACCACCGTAGTTCGAACTAGGGTGGTAATGTAGGCAACCGGAGTTGCAAATGAAGCCCGGGATTTGACTTTCCCGGGCTTCATTTGCTTAAAGCCGGGCGCCGCCATTTTTAAATGTCTGCTAGTGCGGACCCGCGTTTCACGAGAGAAAGGCTTCCTATTCCGAACTACCTGTACTCCTTGTTCCACTAGGGTGGTAGTGTAGACATACCCCTTCAGCTTAACCCCCTCTCCCAGGCTACAGTGGCCTGCATTTTTTTAAATGTACATTACACCTTGCCATTGGGTGTGTGCTCTTTTCACTCTGTGACTGAGGTGTGGCCATGGAACTTTGGGGACCCAAAGCGTGACACCGAGAATGTTTTGGAGCTGAGTTTTACAGTGGGATTAATTGTGGCCTTGATACACGCCACAGGCACTTTTTCTGTGGATACTCTGAATCTTTTCAGAAGTACTGAGGTAAGTGCGCTGTGTGTGGTGGCTGATTTCAGGCCCTTCCACCTCTACCACCCAGCCGCTGTCTAGTAGGCGCCTGGGATTTCGAACAGTCACAAGTGGGAACAGAGGAAGCATTTCCATGAAGAGCTTACAGTGAACATCCTGGATGGGACCAGCAAGCAGCAGCGCTGCCAAAGGGGAAAGAATCCCCAGCAGATGGAAAGGCAGCAACAGATTGCAGAGCACAAGGAGAGGCTTGCAGCACAGTGCGTGGAGCAGGAACAGCGCTTGAGGGAGGAGGAGTGCAGCAGAAAGACCTATGTGAGAAGTTGCTTACACTAATGGCCACAAGACTTCAGGCTCCAGTCCTGCCCCACCCACACTGCGTCCTGAGTTCCCTCCCGGGTACCATGTCCTGCAGACCAGGAATGCATTGGATAATACCAGAGTTGGGTGGCCCATGAAGCCAGGACTGAATGCTAGTTGGGCAGGGCAGATGTACCTCCAGCAGTCTTCCACTTCCCTACAGTCCTCCAGCCCAGTGCGGTGGCACCAAGTGCAACTAAACAAGCTAGAAAGAGAAAGGAGAATGGGCAGCCAGAGACAAACAGGAGTAGGGGTTTTATTTCTTTGCACTTGTTTCATTTGTTTGCACTCTTTTCACTGTTCTGCAGTATTCAGTGTTTGTGTTATGCATTTTTTTTATCATCGGATTTGGTGTTGGGTTGTTACAGTGTTGTAATGGTAGCTGGCCTGCCTGACAATAGCTTGCTTTTTTTTTTTTAAATACTGCCGTTTTAACGAACACTTTTTATTTTATTTTAAGGTGTATTTTCATCACATCACATATTATGTATTTCAGAGAATAAAGACAAGACATGATATGGTACAACTGAGAAGTTGTGTTCAAACACAATTTCTCACTGCCTTTAGTCAGATCATAATAAAAATCCATAGTTCATGCCACACAAACTGCAGTCGCCTGTCCGCATTATATAAGCAGTTATCTCATCTACAAGTAACAATTCATGATAATCACCCATACGTCCATCCAGAGCATACAGCAACCATACTTTATTTATGGACAGATGGCAGTACAGAGACAGCAATTTGTACTATTCTCCCCTTTCCATTGGTCATGCAACCCCACCTTTAGCACTGGCTACTGCCCGAGCACCACTGCCTCACCATGGAGTCTGGACATACAGGCTCCAGAGGAATCCACAAACTGGGAAAAATGGACTTTTGGCTGCCTAAGGCGCCGGCAGGGAGCCGATCTGGAACACAGTTTCTGAGCAAACCTACCAGATAGGCGCCTCAGGCGAGTTCACAGAAAACAGGCAGGGGGAGCACATTGACCATCCTGATGGCAGGGTACTTAATCAGGCTCTGGGAGTCATCTCCGCCCTTTCCACACTCACACTACAGTGGATTTGAATGGGAATTGCCACCTTGCCTGGGATTGCCATAACCACTGCATTTAAACAAAGTGCAACAACTCCAGCAGAAAAGCTTGAGGGAGACCCTCCTCAGACTGTCTGTGCAAATCCCTTCTCCCCTCAGGCAGAGCTGGGGTGTGCAGTGGGGCTCTCCCACATCCCTGGTGAGAACCCTAGCCACTAAAAGCTGAAGTCTAGAAGGGAGCAGTTCCTCCTTCCACCCCACTGGGTCCTGCACTGAGGCTGTGTCTACACTGGCACATTCTTGCGCAAAAACATGCCACCTGTCTACACTGGCCGCGCATTCTTGCGCAAGTAAACTGACGTTGTACTGTAGAAAATCAGGGCTTCTTGTGCGAGAACTCTGATGCTCCCTCTCAGGAAGAAGCCCTCTTGTGCAAGAGCTCTTCCACAAGAGGCCAGTGTAGACAGGCAACATGAATTTATTGCACAAGAAGCCCCTATGGTTAAAATGGCCATCAGAGTTTTCTTGCACAAGAGAGCATCTACACTGGCATGGATGCTCTTGCACAAAAGCACATGCCAGTGTAGACGCTCTCTTGTGGAAGAGTTCTTGCACAAGAAGCTGCCAGTGTAGACGTAGCCTGAGTGTCTATCTTCCCCCAGTGTAGGGATCACTAGTAGAGCTCCATGGAGCCCAGACTTGGCCCTCTTTCAAAGACAGATGCTAGGGCTTAGAACTGGTTGGTATCTCCCATTGGCTAGCTTAGGTAGCTTGCATGTTAGCTCTGTCAGTCTCATTCTTAGGTGCCTGTCTCTCCCCATTCAGTGTTTGAGCCTAGGCACCTAACAGGCATTTGCGGATCACAGTGTTGTTCCAGTGATTGCGTAGGCATCTAAACACTAGGCAGGGAGACTGCAAGCGTCACAACACCTAAGTCCCTTTGTGAATCCTGCCCACAGTATCTTGTGGATGTACTCAGCCCCTTACAGATTAAGGATCTAAGAGGTGACCATACACCCATTGCACTCAGTGACAAATGTCTACATGACATCAGCTGGAACTGGACTAACTCACACTTTCACAGGGAGACTGTCTTAGTTCAGACAGCACACTGACTTCAGCTGACATGTCAATGGCTGCCTCAGAGGGAGGGAGTGTTCACTGTCCCTTTGCCGTGGTATGTAAGGACCAGATCACCAGGTTGCTAATAACCACAATCAGCTTCTGTCTCTCCTGTAACCTTGCTTATGTTTTCCAGGAAGAAGCTCTTCAGTTTGACTATGAGACTGTGATGCTGCGGTGCACGGAGACTTTTGATGATGAAGATTTGTAAATACAGGTGTCTCCTTTAACTAAAGCAATACAGAGCTCTGCTTAACATGCATGGCCCGTGACGAGATGCTGCCCCCGACTCAGTGAGCTGCTTCAGGGGACGGCTGGAGAATCTGTGTTGATGTGATTTGTTACTGGTTTACTGTATATTCCCTCATCAGTGTTTTTGTGCATCAGTTAAGTAATTTATATGTTAAAATGTTTTTAGGTTGCAGATATTTATAAAGTTTTAAAGAAAAGTGATTGTGTTTTGTAGCTGTTTTCATTTGATTGGTTTTGTTTAGGGTTTTGTTTTGTTTTTGTAAAGTGGGTTGTGCGTTTCGTCAGCAATAAGGTTTTTGTCAGAGCGCTCATTTTAACAAACAGGGAATCAACTCCAAAATCAAAAAAGTATTACATGTGTAGAAAAACAGTCATGTTGTGTACAAAAGGAGAGGATTAATTTGTACTGACCTATACTGTACATCAACTTGACCGCTAGTCATTGTCTCTCATATTCATTAATGTTTATGGCAAGAAGGGATTACTCCACTAGATAATCTTGATCTACTGTGTATCACAGACCATTAAATAGCACCCACTTACCCCTCTTATCACATTTGACTAAAGTATAATTTGTGTTTGGTTGCAAGGCATAAGTTCTAGAAATGCATGCAGTCTTAATATGACAACATCAAGCAATGGAGGAACCACTGGTTCCCATGGTAGTTTGTTCCACTGTTACTTACCCTCGCTTAAAAAAATTGTGCCTCATTTCTAACTTGAATTTTTCTGGCTTCAGCTTCCAGCCCTTAGTTTGAGTTATGTCTTTATAAGATTAAAGAACCATTTAGTACCTGGTACTTTCTTCCTTTGCTTATACTCTATAATCAAGTCATCTCTCAAGCTTCTTTAAAAAAAAAACATTGAGCTCTAAGTCTCTCAGAGTAAGGTATTTTCTCCAGCCCTTTTTTTCATTTTTGTGGCTATTTTCTGCACTCTCTGGCTACGTCTACGCTGCAGGCTTTCTGCGCAAGAACGTCCGTTCTTGTGCAAAAACTTGCAGAGCATCTACACTGCAAGCACGTTCTTGCGCAAGTAAATTTGCAGTACAGAGTCAGAAAACAGGGCTTCTTCCGGAAGAGTTATTCCTCTCCCCACATGGAATAAGCTCTCTTGCGCAAGAGCTCTTCCACAAGAAGGCAGTGTAGACAGGCAACATACATTTCTTGCGCAAGAAAGCCCAATGGCTAAAATGGCCATCAGAGCTTTTTTGCGCAAGAGAGCATCCACATGGTCATGGACGCTCTTGCACAAAAGGCCATCTCCTGCGCAAAAGCACATGGCAGTGTGGACGTGCTCTTGTGGAAGACCTTTTGCACAAGAACTCTTCCGCAAAACAGTTCTTGTGCAAGAAGCCTACAGTGTAGACGTAGCCCTGATTTTTCAACCCTTTTTAAAATGTCTTTTTTTGGAGGGGCAGGGAATGAAGCAGTAAAAATCACTGTAACGAGTGACGATTGGGATAGTGAGCACACTCTGCCTTACAGATGAGCTAAAAACAAAACACAACAAAAGAGGATTGGCCAGATATGTTCAAAACATCTCCACTGCTCAGTGTATCATTGACAGCCTGTTGCAGGAGGAGGAGAAGAAATAGGGAAGAAGTCATTATCTTTTGCACGAGTGACGATTGGGATAGTGAGCACACTCTGCCTTACAGATGAGCTAAAAACAAAACACAACAAAAGAGGATTGGCCAGATATGTTCAAAACATCTCCACTGCTCAGTGTATCATTGACAGCCTGTTGCAGGAGGAGGAGAAGAAATAGGGAAGAAGTCATTATCTTTTGCACTTGCAAAGAGTTATTCAGTCAGAGATTTCAAAGTGCTTTGTCCATATGTGAATTAATCACCATCAATTTCAAACGTAACCAAAGGCCCAGAACAGGTAGGTGACCTTGCGCACAGTAAGTCTATGGCAGAATTGGACATAAAGCACTGTGCACAGCATTGCCCTCTCCTAAGCCCCTGCTCTAACCAAGTGATTATTAGTTCCCAAACTGCAGCCCTCAGTGAACACAAGGCATATCATAACATGGAGACACCCCCTCCCCTCCCCTTGGCTCCACATATATGTCTCTGTGCCCAGCCACACAACTTGGAGTGGCAGGGGGCCCTGCCCCTTTCTAGAGAAGTAGCAGCACAGGGCCCTTCTTCAAAAGGGACAGTAGCTGTGGTCCGCATCTTCTTTCCTTGACGAGGCCGCAGTAGTAACATGGGGGTACCCCAATACCTTATTAACCAGAGTGCACAGCTGGAGGGAGGGGATGAGCCCGGCCCATTACACATATCTACCACACATCGTCCTGTTGGCAGGAGCACTCCAGAATAGTGGTGTGTTGGAGTTAACATCCTGTTAAGCTAAACTGGGCCAGTCACAGCTCTCAAGCAATTGCTTAAGGCTCTATACAAATTCAGGCAGCTGTCACATAGTTCACATATTTGTATTTTGCTTTGCCACCATGAAGGCTAAAAATTATTTTTTAAAAATACACAAGTTGATAAAGTTTACTCCTGGGGGAGGCTCTGTGTCACTGCAGAAGTGCAGAATTAATGTTCTTCGGGGATGTCCCTGCGGGTGCTCCACTATGGGTCGCTGGGCTTGCCCCGGCGCCGCAGACGGAAGCTTGTCATGAGCAGTGTTCTGCCGGACCACGCCCACCCATTCCAGCCCCCTGCCAGTTCATCTTCACCGCCTCAGGCTGCAGACGCTTGGACCCACGCTCCTTACCTCACTCACGGAACAAGACTGCTTCTAGTTTCCCCTTGTACATAAAATCCCTTTTTCCTTCCCTTTCCCTTGTTTTTTCTCTTATTAAAAATTAAAAAAAAAAAAGAGAAGAAAGACAAAAAGAACTATCGGGAGTAAGAACAGAAACCACATACCAGTCTTACCTCCTGCCTCTCAGCTGTTCTCCTGTCAACTCCATTGCATATAGTTGCATTCACCTTAAAAAAAAAAACTAAAAAAAGAGAAAAGGAACAAAGACAGCAGGACAGTCATTACCACCAGGCTATCAACATTGAACAAGTAGCTGTCTCTCTGCAATTTAAAAACAAAAAAAACAGGCTTCCGGCAAAATGTCAGCGACCAGTTTTAAAAAATGCGGCTCCTGCCAGGAGGCAATGCCAGCCTCCGACGGCCATTCAGAGTGCATCCATTGCCTGGGGGAGTCTCTCATCCCCCAGACGTGTCCTCATTGTTCAAGACTCACCTCCAAGGCCAGAAAAGATAGGGAGAGGCGCCTTTGCATGCTCCTCTTTGACACAGCCCTGCAACCACAGCAAGCTGACTCTAATCAGCAGCCACACAAACGCCGGTCTTCCTCCCCCACTACGGGACTTCAAAAGAAGGCGAGTCTGTCCCCAGCAAGATCCCTGCCAGCTGCCTTTAATGGCAGGGAGAACCAGGCAGACACACCTGGGACGTCTGGCAATGTAAAGCCACGTCCCCGTGCCTCAACGGCTTTGAAATCTAAGTGGGCACGGGAGGCTTCCCAAACGCCGGCTCCCCAGGCAGCACCAGCTCAGCCGCTTCTCTTTACTCCGGCGCAAAGCGCTGAGCTGGCTCCAAGAGCAGCCTCGGACCTGACCATCACGGCACCGGCCCTGGCACAGCCTCTGAGTCACCGCACAGTGCCGGACTACACGGCACCGACCCGTTCTGCTGCCGGCGTGGTACCGATTGCTCCTGCCCACCTTTGGCACCTAAGGCAGAGCAATCCAGTGGCTAGCGCTTCAGCGCATGCCACCACACACCCACCCCAGAGCCCTGCTGCTCTCCGATCTCCACACCGCAGCTGCTCTCGCTCCCGCTTCCTCTCCCAGACACCGTCCTCTCCTCTGCTGGCACTCCGATCTCCACGCCGGTCCTCTCACCAGTATGGGTCTCCTCATGCCTCTTCAAGACTGCCTTCCCCGTTTCTGGCTGCTGCATCTCCTCATCGCAGGCACCACTACAGGCAACTCTCTGCCTCTCCTGCTTCCTCCAGGGCATCACACCTCCGCTCCTGTTCGCCCTGCTCCCCGTACCATTATCGGTATTGCAGCCGCTCTAGCTTCCATGATGACTGTTCGGTCCCTCTCCTCCCTGCCCTTCCGCATCATGAGCAGAGTGATCCAGTGGCTAGCGCTTCAGCGCATGCCACAACTCAACCACCCCGGAGCCCTGCTGCTCTCCGTTCTCCACGCCGCCACAGCTGCTCTCGATCTCACTTCCTCTCCCCTGCACCGTCCTCTCCTCTGTCGGCACTCCGATCCCCACGCTGGTCTTCTCACCGGTACGGGTCTCCTCGTGCCTCCTCAAGACTGCCTTCCCCGTTTCTGGCTGCTGCATGTCCTCATCGCAGGCACCACTACAGACATCTCTCTGCCTCTCCTGCTTCCTCCAGGGCATCACACCTCCGCTCCTGTTCGCCCTGCTCCCCGTACCATTATCGGTATTGCAGCCGCTCTAGCTTCCATGGTGACTGTTCACCGCAGCATGGCACATACCATCGCGACGACCGCGACTCTCGACATTCTCGTAGCAGGTATTCTTGCCAATCACTATCCGCCTTTGACTATGCTTCACGCAGGCGATCTCCAACCCGGCTCCCCTTCCTCCTCCACACCATGCACCATCACCATCTCACCACTCATCAGAGCTGGAACATACTCCCTTTGTGCACCAAACTTTGGGGTCTTCCATTCTGGATTCATCTCCTCCAGAGGATGCATTGACCCCCGGCGACAGCTCTCCACCAGACAACCTCTGTCAGTTCCAAGAATTGTTTAAGCGAGTAGCTATCACACAAGAGATCCCGCTGCAAGAACTCAAAGATAAGTAACACAAGATTTTTAGGAATCTCCAACCGCGGCATAGCTCACGCCTGGCCATCCCTCTGGACGAAGGCATCCTGGAACTGGCTGACGAAGTGTGGCGTGCTCCAGCGTCAGCTCTCCCCACCAACAAAAGAGCCAACAAGAAATATTTCGTACCACCAAAGGGCATGGAATTCCTCTTTGCCCATCCACAGGCTAACTCCTTAGTAGTTGACTCAGCTCAACAGAGGTCTACAGCCCCCCACCTCAAACAACAGGGCTCCGATAGGAACGTAAAGAGACTTGACCTCCTGGGCAGGAAGGTATACATTTCAGCAACTCTACTCCTCAGAATTGCCAATTACTCGGCTTATCTCACCAATCATACCTTTGATACGTTTTCACGCCTCACTCCCCTCATGGATCATCTCCCTGATTCAAAAAAATCGATCCTGAGATCAGTAATCCAAGAGGGCTACATATCAGTGAGAAAGTCCCTCCAAATAGCCATGGACGTCGCTGATACCACTGCTAGCTCTACTGCTACTACCATCGTTATGCACAGAGCTTCTTTCCTTCAAGTGGCAGGAGTTCCAAAGGAACTACAGGCCAAAGTCGAGGACTTACCCTTTGACAAGGGGAAGCTCTTTGTAGAGACCACAGACTCAATCTTACAGTCCTCTAAAGACTCCCAAACAACCTTACGAACTCTGGGGATGTATACACCCCCCTTTAAGGGACGCCGGTACTCACCATATCAGTGCAGATATGACTACTCCTACATCAGACATCAGTGGCAGCAACAGCACCAGCAACAGAGGCCCTTTGACAACCAATGCTCTCGCCAGAGACTTCAGCGATGCCGAAACCCAACCGGCAGAACGAACATGCCTCCCAACAACAAGCAACAGGTTTGATGCGTTGGTCGAGGGTGAGCAGACAGTCACAGGCAGCATCATGAATCGTATGACGCAGCTCTTCCACCACCGGCTGAGGCCCTTTCTACATCAATGGGCAAAAATCACCACGGATAGATGGGTCCTCAAGATTGTTCAGTCTGGCTACCCTATCCCTTTCATAGCCATCCCACCAACCACCCCTCCTACCCCATCCCTCTTCAGGGACCCCTCTCATGAGACCCCTCCTCCGACTAGAAGTCAACCGCCTTCTCTCTCTGGGTGCCATAGAGCCAGTCC